CCATGGAGGATGGGGGAGATGTGTATTTGACAGTAAAGTAGATAAATATATAGAGTAGAACAACAAACAAATCGACACCCAAATAAGAAAATATTATTTTGACGAAAAATATGTGATTGTACCATCTATTTAGATTTACAGTTTAAAAATTAAGATTCTTTTTTATAGCAAATATGAATCGTAGGACTTCATAGAAAAGACGAGTAAAGTAAGATTTATGAGAGATAAATCAAGATCATAATATATATATAATAATATGATTAACATTTTCATAATAATATAATTGAATATATCATGGGCTATATCACAGAATAAGATAAGGTTTTATCATAGGTAGTTTAATTTTAGCAAATTTTCTATATTTCTGTTCTAGCATAGTTACAATAAATAGCTCAACGTTCCGTAGCTGGTGGTTGTGAGCAACTGGTGCTACAGGGAATAGAGCAAAGTGCCTTTGAGATTTCAGGCATATTTAGCAAAGGATAAACAAGCTTCTCTCTCCTAATCCTAAGGTTTCTAGTTCCAGAACGAGAGGAGAAAGGGGGATTTTTTCAAAGATAAGGTGGGGGAATATTGTTTGTATCCCCCCCCCATATTTGTGATGTTAATGCTGGCATTATCGGCAGAATTTACATAAATCGACGTCCCTGCAATCATCAATAATTAGATTTTAGCATATGAACCTATATCGATATATGTACTTGTAAATAGTCAAAAATGAAAAAAATGTTTTCGAAAATAAGTAATTTTTTAAATGTAACTAAACAAATAAGACACTTTATTGATATCATAATGTGGTGGTGGGGGGGGGGGTCGATAAAAGATTAATATTTTAGGGAAAAGGGAATACAGAAAAGGATCAGTTAAGGGAATCTAAGCGTAATTTAATATGTCCCTAAATGCAAAGATGACAATGTTCGATTCACAACGGTATCCATAAAGGTTTGTCTGAACAAGTCTAAATCAATGAGCAAAATTTCGAAAACTGAGTATTTTCAATTGTGGCTTCTCAACAAAAGTTAATTGCGCATTTCCATGCAGGAAACTTGTTATAGAAAATATGAATTATCAGAATTAAACACTTCTAAACCTAGAAAAATTTAAAGTTTTAAGGGAACCGTTGTGAATTCTCTTAGATCGAAAAATAAACAAAGTAATATAATGAAAGTTAAAGGTTGAAATTTACGCCCGGGAGGTTTTTTATAGTATTAAAAAATACTTCAATCTAAATCTTTAAAAAAATGTTGGGGTATTTTTTTGTATCTGACAACGTGTATATATCAAGATTGTTAAATATTAAAAAAAAAACATTTTTTCAAACAGATATAAAATAATATTTATTTAAATTGGTACATACCGGGATCAAGCGAAACCACAATTTTTGAGAATATTGAAATCAAAATTTGAAATTTTATTTTAATTTTTAAGAATTTTATTTTAAGTTTACGGATATTTTAAATCTAACTGACCAGGGGGGATTAGACTGGATATCAGTTGGGGGGAGGATTATTCTCCGGGAGACGGAGGAGTCATCTTCTTAGATCTGAACTCAACACAATCAATACATTCCCACTTCGGAGACAGTTTTAAACCTATAGGATTCAAATCTCAAGGAGGGTGAGGAGGGGGGGGTGTACTTTAACCAAATAATATTGTAGCCAGCAGTGCAACTAAGGTTAATAATAAATTAACGGTTATTTTTATTTAGTCTTTTTAGTTTATCTACTTATTAAGTTATTTAACCCTTTTGAATTCCAGCATCCCCAATCCCCCATCAAACAATAAAAAATTCTAAGTTGAGAAAAATTTGTAATTTTTATTTATTTTGATTTTTAAATTATATTTTATTGTTTATATTAAATGGGTGTTATGGGCATGTTAATAAGTGTTGTCTATGCTCCTTTAGCATTTATGTGAGCTGGTGACGGTATGAAGAGCCGGCAAGGAGAGATTAGATACTCCTCTCTCTCTCTCTCTCTCTCTCTCTCTCCCTGAGCTAGTCTCCAGGGTTGCCAGATGGCTCTTTTTGGAGCCACATTTCCTTAAAATGGCTTTTTTTTAAAGGCTGTGGCTCCGGTGGCTTTTATGGCTCCAAATGGCTCTTTTTCAAAATTCCACCAAAAAGTGGCTCTTTTTCAAAATTCCACCAAAAAACTGAAAATTCATGAGCAGAATTTGAAAATATTTTCTCAGTTTGCAAATTTATAAATTCTGTGTTAGTAACACACAGATGTTCAGACCTCCCCTAGAGGTGTCAGGGAGAGTGGGGGGGGGGTGTCATATATGATGCTAGGGAGGGGGGTCATATATGATGCTCATTAATGTGGGGGGGGGGGACGGAGATATCTCACCAGATGCTTACAGCTGATTTTTAGAATAGCTTTCAGTCTTACTCGGTAATTAGAAAAAGTAACAATTAGAAGAACATCAGTTAACTAATAGTTATAAGCAAGCATATGTACACCAAGTTAAAATTATGGGTAGTCCAGTTAAAAGAAAATCAGGAGTGTTGAAAAAAAAGATCTGAACCTAGAAGAAGATTTATTATGGATTGGAAAAAAGAGTTTCCATGGGTAGAACCTGGGACAGATCATGGATATCACCAAGATGCTAAGTAAGAATTTAACAATATGAAATTATGAATATTATTATATTTTATCCTGTTTACTGTTGTCCTTTAGTTTCCAGNCCCCCACCCCGCTTCTTTACCGAGGCTGTTTTAGTGGAACCACTTAGTGACGATTTTTTATTAAATTTATTGATTGTTCAAAACTACTTAAAAAGATAATGATAGCATAAACAATTATGTTGAAAATATTTTATTATACTCATGGGAAGTATCTGATATATTAAGAATTCATTTGTTTGTTATTTTGACTCATTGTGTAATCTTTGATTGGGTTAAAACACGGGAATAAGTCATCATTTTCTTGAAAAATCATTCCTTTCCTCAAGCTTTTTTTAATTAACATATTTTACAACAAAAAATTTAAAATATTCGAATTTTTTGAAAATGGAATTTTTAAGAAAATAAGTTAAGTCCAATCATATGTTTCTTTATTTAAAAAAAAAAATTAAGTAAAACTGAAACTAAGAAGGTTTTTTTTGCAAATGTTTCTCATATTGAATAAATTATAAAATTTAGGGAAAACGAGACAACTAATTTTTATCCAAATATTGAAAATTAAAAAAAAAAAACTCTAATCCTTCAGCTTATGAACAACCTTACCTTACTTCAATATTTCGTACCGTTTTCCCTATCTATACAAATATAAAAAATATAGAATTTGGACTAAGATAATAAATATTTTTGTAATCTGATATTTTTACATCAGAACAATTCCCTTCACAGCCTCTTGCATCAGTAGTGTGATGGAGTAAACAAAATAATAAAATCCATTAAGTTTGGAATTTAGAATTACATCATAATCATTTAAAAAAAATTAAATATTCAATTTTTATTAGTTTTCTATCTGACTTTCTGTCAACATATACAGTCAGTGATGCACTGCATGAATTGCATTAAAATAAATAGAAACCGNAATCATTTTTGTGACGGTTTTTGTGTTTTTTCTTTTTTGTTTTGTCTTGAGAGGGGGGGGGGATTTAAGAACAAAATTGTAATTCTGTTCTTATTTCTCATTACGTGATTTCACGTTTACAGCTAGATTTCTACAGTGTTGAATTCTCTCTTCACAGTTAATTACAAGCTTTAAAGATCAAGAATTGAGGCCAACTGTGGAATTGTCAGTTCCTCACATCCATTAGTTAATTATTGCTATTAAAATGTTTCAAGCGGTGCCCTTTACAAACCAAATCAAAACTGATGGAAATAAATTGAAAATTAATTAGAAGAAAATAAAAGGAAAAAAAAAATTTTAAAAATTTTAAGTAATGAAAACCCCCTTAAATTTGTGTGTACTGCTTTAATGCCATAAAGCACGGGTGTTTTCTAGGAAAGAATATTTTATTTGATTTATGATAAGATATATAAGATGAATATATTTATATATTTGTTCTGTAGACTCAGAATTGTAAAATGTAGAATTCTACTCAGGTTTAGGGTTTAAGAGAGCCTCCAATCTACCGGGGAAAATATTGTTTCTTTAAAAAAAATCTCAAGCAAAGAAAAAAATCTAGAATAACTTAAAAATTGTGATTTCAAAATTAAAAAAAAAAATTAAATTTTTTTTCACTCTTTGTGCTGAACCTTTCTAAACTTTTACATTACAATATTAGATTTAGAGTTGAGAGGGAAACAAGGATATAATCAATATCTCAATATTCTCCCAGCATCCTTACACCCAGCCAATACTTTTAGAAAACAGTTGTACACAATTTATAAAATTATCAGCAGCTTGTTTTGAATTATTAGACATATTTTTCCTTCAATAAATCCTTCTGTAAAACCTATTTTTGTAAGAAAACAACTTTTTATTTCCAAATAAATTGGAACTCGTGCAAAAAATATCATTGACCACTTTCTCATTAAAAAAACAGTTTTCCACTGAAATATTTTTATCTTGTATTGTACCTCATTTCAATTAATTTAAATTAATTAATTTTTCGATGTCCAGTTTAATTTTACCCTGAGCCTAAACCTGTACGGGATATTGTTAACCTGAGCTTAGACCTGCAATTGAATTTGTACTTTAATCTTGAACATGTACTAGATAGTATACCCTGAGATTGAACCTGTACTGGATAGTATACCCTGAGATTGAACATGTACTGGATAGTATACCCTGAGATTGAACATGTACTGGATAGTATACCCTGAGATTGAACATGTACTGGATAGTATACCCTGAGATTGAACATGTACTGGATAGTATACCCTGAGATTGAACATGTACTGGATAGTATACCCTGAGATTGAACATGTACTGGATAGTATACCCTGAGATTGAACATGTACTGGATAGTATACCCTGAGATTGAACATGTACTGGATAGTATACCCTGAGATTGAACATGTACTGGATAGTATACCCTGAGATTGAACATGTACTGGATAGTATACCCTGAGATTGAACATGTACTGGATAGTATACCCTGAGATTGAACATGTACTGGATAGTATACCCTGAGATTGAACATGTACTGGATAGTATACCCTGAGATTGAACATGTACTGGATAGTATACCCTGAGATTGAACATGTACTGGATAGTATACCCTGAGATTGAACATGTNCCCCCTCCCTACCCCTCCCCCCTCCATTCCCCGACCTTCTCCCCAAATTTTTGGTAAGCTTGGACACAATGGGGTTCTCAACTAGTCGAATATTGCCCAAATAGATGTAGAGGGAAACATTCTTCCTAAACCAATATCTATTCTTTTTTTTCAATATTTTTTTTTCTTGTCACAAATTTAGACTAATTTTGAATTTGAATTTTTTTTTATCCCTGAAAAGAATGGATCTTGTCTCTGGACATCTGCAATGTTAAAATATGAAACTTTGGCAAAAATATGTTGCATAGGTTTAAAATATAAAGTATGAATATTAATTTGAAATTTTTTTGCGACCACCCGTACTTTTAGACTAGTATTTTTCTGCTTTTTGTTGTTGATTAATGTTTTATTTGATCTTTTTTTAAATATTTGGTAACAAGATCTTAATGTCTTCAAGATAAATTAATTTAAATCTGAAAAGCAATTACGTATATATTATAAATATCTATAAATTTCACAAATATGCTGTCGCTTAACTTTTAATTTATGATTATAATTTTAAATCGGTACGAAATTGACGATTCTAAGAAAAAAACTTTATGATGTAATTATTAAATCATATTTTTATTAACATTTTTAGTTTTAACACCTGTAAAATGTTTTCAAATATAATTTTTCCCATAAACCTTTTTCTGCTAGATGAATTATATACACATTGATTGTGCATGTATCAATTTAATGTTAATTAAAATAGTCAAAAAAATTTCTTGGTTTGTTCATAAGAAGTTCAGAGCGGAGTAATTTCAAGATTAAGGTTAAAAGTTTTGTACACTGCGTGTGCAAAAGATGTACTTTCTGACCTCGAAAATGTACGTTGTACTCGGTTGATGAACTGTATGTTTTCCTCTAAATATACTGTTAAGACTTTTAATTTGTATTTTTTAAGCTTTTGATGTACAAATGTTAAGTGTACATTATTGATAATATACTCTCTGACCTCAAAACGTACTGTTTGTACTATTGATGTACTGATTGACCTCAAATATATAATCAGTACAATTTAGATAAACTGTCTAACCTCCAATATTTTCAGAATTGTTGAGCGGAGCAGTCGAGGCTGTGACGGAGGACAGGGCAAGGAAGGTCCTAGAGAGCGTGGACTTCTTGTCGAGGCTGCGCGAGGACGTGGCTGGATTATCCGACCTGAGATGTAGGTTGGAAAGTTTAGCTGAACCTGCTCTGGATCTACCGGAATGGTGGATTCCTGGAAAACATGATACAGATCTAGTCATCGGAGCTGCCAGGTACATATCCTCAAATTTATTAACTCCGAGTACAGTCTTTTTTTCTTTAATGTAGACTTTAAAAAGTTATATGTTACTAGGATAAATCAGAATCAAATTTTATTTATATCAAGATCTTTTTACAGAAACATTTGATAGAACTAAAAATAAAAATAGGGCCAAGTTTGATGTGGATTCGTTTAAATTTTCCTTAATGGAAATCAATAAAGTTAGATTAAAATACGTTTATGAAAAGAAAATATAAATTAAAAGATTTGCTTGAATGTGCAACCCTAGAGTGGTATAGTTGCTTGTCACGTCTATTGCATTACTTAGGTTTTGTGAAAAGATTGTGTAATGATGAACGGAAAAGGTTAATAGTATGTTAAGATATATTTTGTAGATACAAATGAAGCAAAAATATTTCGTTAAACCAGGGGAATTAGTTCCAAAACTAACACTTGGCCCATTTCTATTACTGAGTGTTAGAAATGGGCACAAATTGAAAGACTGGGTTTTTGGGATCCCGGCCCATCCAGAGTAAAAGTCGATAATAAAAACTATAACCAACATTTTATTAAACATGACGAGGACAGCAATTCCCAAATTTACACATTTTTTAAAATCAAAATTATAACAGGAGTTTAGTTTTATATTAAATCTCTTGACCGTTTTCAAGACAATGTCAGGTTTTCCATTTTCGAACATATCCTGAATTTGAAACATTGTCGCGTTTTTGAGACAACCCCCGAATTCCCGTATTTGAGCCGCAATTCAAAACAAAACTCGCTTTTATATCTTACAAAATTCATATCTTACAAAAATTATCTTTTGAATTTTGCTAGAATCTAAGCTTCCACATTTGACCTGTTAAATTAGAGAATATCGATGATTTGTTTTCAAGCATTTTAAACAAGCAGTTTCCCGCATTTCTAGTTAAATCTATATTATAAGAACAAATGATATTACTTTTTTGATTTTTAAATGCTGTAATCTATATATAAATTTGGCTTGTCTGTTTGTTTGTTTGTATCCAATAAACGTCAAAACGGCTGAACCGATCGGGCCCAAATTTTTTGTGGGACATCTAGGGACTCCAGGGAAGGTTTATGAATCATCAAAATTTCAAATATTTGTCTCCATCAAAATTCGATCGTCATTAAATTTTTAAATATTTTGAAAATCCGCGAAATTTTTTGTGAAAATCCGCGAATTATTTTTGTTTTGTTTTTCGATGTACACAAAGAGAACATGTTCACAATTAATTTAGGAGATGGGCGCGAAGCGCCCTCTAAGGCTAGAAAGAGGGGCGCGAAGCGCCTTGAATTTCTAGTGATTTTTAAATTATAAAATAACAGGTTTTTATTTCTATTTTGTTCATATTTTACCTTTTTAAAAAAAGTGCGTAAATGCTTAAAAATTGACAATGATATGAATTCTGGTAATTGTCTGAAAACCAGGATATGTTCCAAAAACGCTACACGAGCTGAAATCTGGTAATTGTTTCATAATAGGGATATATGTTCGAAAATAAGATCAAGAATCATAAAAAACTAATTCTCACACCTTATTATTAGTTTAAAATTGACATCTATTATTTCAATATATAGTTTTAGCCATTTTTTAAATTGGTGTAATTTTGTTCTACTCGTCTAGGATTTAAAGATAAATACTCATGAAAAAGATAACTTTGCATATTTGGCCCATTTCTAGCACTCGTGTTAGAAATGGGCCAAGTGTTAGTTTTGGAACTAATATCCCCTGAAAACTAGAAAACCTTCTGATTGTATTCTCATTGTTTTGATTTGTGAACATGGCATATGTCCGATTCACGACGATATTCTTTCAATTTTCATCTAGGTAACATTTGAAAGTGTTTAATTCTGACTATTTCTCTCCTTCTCTCCTTCTCTCCTTCTCTCCTGTTCCTTATTCCGCAAGTTTATTTGATTGAGATCGCAAATAAAATCAATCAATTTTAAGATAGGAAGAGAGGGCATCCATCATTTTCGTCCAGACAAAGGATTAAAGGGCATTGTTTTGAATAGGACATGCCACTACATTCAGGAGATAATCACTCGAAATCTCTGCACTTACTATCTAGAGGAGGGAGATAATTTAATAGTTTGGATAATTTGACAAAATGAAGTTCTAACGTGGACAAAATCAACGTGTTCATAACAGTTGGGACNGGGGGGGGTTAACGTATAATGATTGGTTAAGGTTCCCGGGGTCTTGTGAAATAATTGCATTTAACTCCATCTAGCGGGAGATGCTAGCATTATTAAAGAAAGCTGAGACCCTACCCCTGCTCATCCCGGTCTCCGCATTATTTTTCAACAATCAATATTATACAATCACACTAGGACTCGGATACACAGAGTCAACGGGGTAGAAAGAAAGATTGTCTTACGGAGCAGATGGATAGATATATAGGTTGATAGAGAGAGAGAAAACTGAGGATTTATGCTAGAATTTAAAAATTAGATAAGTTAAATAATCTTTCTTTTTTGACGAGTTGAACTTGTTTGTTGATCCGATATGCCGGCAGTACATAAACACTAATTAGGGAATTCAGACGTCTGGTAATATTTTCATGCAATAATATACAGAATTCAGGCATCATGCAAAACTGTCGGCTGAGTTGAGGAGCGGGGGGGGGGGGGAACAATTTATAACACACCTAGAAAGCTGAGAACTCAGACAAAATTTAGCATTAAAACTAGACCTGGCCATTTCTTTTCATTCAACACAATAATCAGAACTTCACATTTCAAGATATTTTTATTTTCAATAGTATGTTAAGATATATTTTGTAGATACAAATGAAGCAAAAATATTTCGTTAAACCAGGGGAATTAGTTCCAAAACTAAAACTTGAGGGGTGTTAAAGGACGGCTGGGAATGGTGGGGGGGGGGGTCAATATGTATTTATTATCAAACGTTTAATGATTAGCATATGCACTTTCCTAGGAGTGGCAGATGTTTTTATAAAATATATATTTAAAATTAACCTCATTATATACAACACGCTGAATTCAGGGCTTTGTCATATTGACGGAAGGGGGGGGGATTGAGGGAGATCAAACAAGAAATGTATTTTAGAAACCACAGGGGGGGAGGGGATGTATAGAACATAGAAGGAAAAAAATTGTGATATTTGTTTTGTTAAATAATAAATTACTAAAATCATAACTTTTAAGAATTGAAATATTTGTAGAAATTATTTGATATTTCTTCATTGTTTTTATTTTATAGATTAATCAAGCATACTGCTTTAAACCAGGCATTTTTCTATCCAGAGTTCAGAAATCATTACAACCCTTACTAATAGTCTGGAATGTATCTGACCATTATTTCGTATTATTTAAATTTTTATCAAAGTTTTCCTAATTTGCAATCATTGCATGCAAGCATATATGTCGTAATATTTTCGAGGTTGAATGATATGGAATTATTAGACTCTGGATATGTACAGCTTTCTTCAGAATATCTTAGTATTGGAAACGTGTTCAGTTATGCTTTTGAGAGGTTGGGCTTCAAATTACCTCCCCCCCCACCCTCGTGTATCCATTTATTTAAGTATCTATCCATCTTAACAACTATCTATCTATCCACTCTTCCTCAATATATCTTATTGAATTGTAGCAGCTTAAGCTTTCCACTCCAGGGACAAAAATGCATCGTGGTCATTTCTTTTCATTCAACACAATAATCAGAACTTCACATTTCAAGATATTTTTATTTTCAGACATGGCGTCTCTCGGATGGAATACTACGTCCTTAATGATATAGAATTGTCCTTCAAGGACGTCCTCAAACGTTCCCTCGGAGGTGAACCTCTTCAGGACAAGGAGGAGATGGCTGAGTGGGAGAAGAAGAGAGGACGTCACTCCAACGGAAATGGAAATCATGTTGAGAAAACTCGGAGGAACAGTGGAAAGAGTGATATTTCGGAGGAGGAGCAGGGGGAGAAAAAGGAAAATGGAGACGCCTCCGAACAAATGGATGTTGATAATAAATCCTTAAGTAAAGAGGACAAAGAGAAAGCTAGACTAGAAAAGGCTCGTGCAGTTGAAAAAGCCTCTATCCTAGCTCCGCAGTTAAATCTTCAACAGATCGAAGCCGCGATTGCCAAGGGCGGCGGTGTTGGTTACGATCAAGAAATGATCAACGATCTAATGGCGCAAACATACGCGGCCAGCGTTCGGTGGCCGAAGGACAAAGTTTTAATGGTTCGGCTCCAGCATATAGTTCAAGCAATAGAAGAGAATAAGTGGCCGGTTCCGGAGAACTTTACTTTGCTAGATCTGGCAGTAGAGAACGGGACGGATACTCCGGAACCTACTCAGAACCCTAGAGATACAGGCACTCCACTCAGTGAGGTAGGTTTTCAAATAAATATTTTGAGACCTTTGTGCTTAAATATCAAAACTGTTCTATTTTTCAATTTAAAAAGGTAAATTTTCTCAAACTAAATATTTATTCAGATTTCTGAATTGTCTGCATACGACGACGGAAACGTCCTAACACATGGAGGCCTAGCAAATAGAAAGAAACGTGGAAGACGACCCTTGGACTGCCCAGATGAAAAAACTAAGGTACAAATTTCTAATTCTGGAGAATTAAGTTTATCATAAAGTTTATCAAAAAGAAGATTTTCTTAATAAAAGTTTTACTACTCTGTTAAAGTTTCTAATAAACCGTGTCCAGATTCATTTCAATAAACTCTTTTTGATTTTTCAATATATTTAAAAAAAAGGTTTCAACAGGTTTGGGGTATAAAAATTATTTAACTAAATTCTCTCCCCCCCCCCCCCCTTACACACTTTTAAGAATGATTGTCTTGGGCCAAAATGTAAAAAAATTGTTTCGTGGTAAATATTTTATTTTAAATAATACATATGAATATTTCATTTTCTGTGTTCAATAACTTTTCGAAATATTGATTTAAATTTTTGTGACGGATTTATTATTTAGTTCCGAGGGTTGGTTCAGAGCTCTACACTCTTGTCTGCCAGTAGCCTAGTATCAAGTACCAAGGCCTCCACAGATGACTCCATGTCAGATGCTAGCGGGTATGTCCATGCGGAATTTCTTGACAATTGAGAGACGAATTGAAAATCGATCTTTGAAATAATTTGCGACTTCGTTTCATAATTCAATTTTTAGCATGTTTTCATAAACAATAGACATGGTAGAAATAGATATGTGTTTCACCAATTTTATCTACAACTTCAGTCATACTTTTTTTAAACCCAACCAACGTTTTTTTAAAGATTTTGTAGTTTAGATTCTTTAGCATGATTTTGCATGAAAATCAACCAGGTCATTTAGATTATCTTTAAAATATTATTTTGCATAATTTTATTTGATTTATTTGATTTTGTTTTCTTTTGTTTTGTTATTTTTTCCTTTTTTATTTGGTTTGGTTTGGTTTAGGTTTGCTGGTATGGATCTAAGCAGGACTGGAATCACTATCACTCCAGTTAACTTGGGGTAGGATATTCATTCCCAAGGGGGCGCTATAGGGTCAAATGTGTAGTTGTGTCATTTTTGGCGTAGTTTGAGTTTAAAATATTTAAGTGCGGGGGGGGGGAATGATCTTAGGGTTAAAGTAAAAAACACAATAATCTTGAAGAATTAATTGAAATTTATTGTTTTCAAAGAGTTGAAATAATAAAACGAAGATTGAAGAGGGGGTGGAGGGGTAGGGGGAGAGATTAAAATAAGCTTTTACATGATCACATCTTCATTCTTGTGCATGCGCTTACTTTCATTTTCCTTAGATATTTCATTTAATTATTTAATATTTTATTCTCGTCTCATCTCTCATAAAGTTGGGAATTAAACTTCAAAAGAATCCAGTTCATAAATATTTTTCCATTTCCTAATTTGATCAAATCCTGGATCTTCTTTTTCTCTTCAGTAACTTTTTTTAAAATTTTTAATTTATTTTTGTTTATTAAGGAATCGGCCGGGCGTTGAGGTTCCCGCAGGCGAAGATTCCAACCTAGACCAGAAATCCTTGTCAAAAAGTTCTAAACTTGAATCTACTCTTGATAAACTGGGGCTGCAGAAACGAAAGGTGATTATGCTACTCATTTACTGATAAATGAGATTAAGTTGACTTAATGATTCAATTTTTTATAATCTGATTTGACTAATTATATTTATTCCTAAATATTTGACTGATCATTGGTATTCCTAGTTGGCTGATATTTAATATTCCTAGTTTGCTGATAATTTGTATACCAAGCTGGCTGATATTTTGTAATATTTTCGAATTGGCTAATGATTTTGTTTTCCTGGGTAGCTCATTATTTTTATTACGATTTGACTGATTATTTTCATTTCTATTTGGCTGATAATTTGTAGTCTTTATTCCTAGTTAGCTGATTATCTATGTTTCTAGTTGGCTGATGCTCCTGCTGATGATAAATCTAAGAAGAAGAAACGTCTGGATGACCTGCTATCAGGTTTACACGCCGGCAAGGGTAACTCTGTGCCGGAGAAGAAGGAGTCCCCCATGGACTCCTTGTTCAGAAAGGCAACGGAGAGCGCCACAGATTTAAATAAACTGCAGGAGATGCTTGGACCTCTTGGAGGAAATCCGGGAGATGCTAAGGTAATAAATCTAGGAATCTTACATACAATTATTATTCTTATTCTTCGAAATAAAAAAGAGGTGATATATTTAAGAAATAATTAATTGTCCTTGTTAAGGTGCAGAAGTGGTTGGCGGATCAAATGGGAGTTACTCCTGAGCGTCCCATTACTCCAGGTAGCTCAGCTACAGCCACCAGCAATAAGAGGCCGGCCAGCACATCCTCCTCAGCCGGAGGCTGGATGGAGTGGATGTCGAAGTTATCCGGAGATGAACATGTGACAGTGTTTAACCGGTCTACAGGAAAGAAACTGTCTGGAACATCTGGACCTAAGTTGAAATATTTAGCTCAGTGGTTGATAGAGCATCCTATGTTCGAGGTCGACCCTAAGTGGGCTGAGGAAGTGAGACTGAAGGACGACGGGAAGAAGAAAGGTCGTCCTCCAATGGACGATTCTCCGTTGGCCAAGAAGGTTTCTTCCCCTGGCGTTGGGCCTTCATACAACAGTATGGCAAGCCTAGGCCTGGATCCCAAGAATCCAATGTCAGCCCTGGCTGCACTTGATCCCAAGAATCCCAATTCTCTTGCAGCACTCTATGGATTGGACCCGAAGAAATTGGATCCAATGACAGCTGCCATGCTTGGTTTGGGGGATCCCAAGAACCCAATGAAGATGGATCCTATGATGATGGCTGCCCTTTCTATGGATCCCAAAACTTTACAGGCTTTGGGAATAGATCCCAAGAAACTGACTTCAATGGCGAGTCCGGCCTCAAGTAAATCAGCTGAACCTAAAGCTAAACAACAACCCTCTAATAATCCCTCAGGATTAGATCCAATGCTTTTGGCTGCATTTGGCATGGACCCTAAGAATCCTAAACTTGATCCAGTTACAGCCGCTGCTCTTGGGTTGGACCCTAAGAACCCTAAATTTGATCCAATGGTCCTGGCTAGTCTTGGATTGGACCCAAAGAATCCCAACTCTACCCTATTAGCGGCTATGGCTGCTATGGACCCAAACAACCAGCTGGCGGCTATGTATGGATTGATGCCTCCTGGGTTTCCAATGGCTGGGATGGATATGTACGGTAAAGGAGGAAAACATTCTCCTCAGACAAAGGATAAACAATCTCCGCACCCAGCACCATCTCCTAGATCTAACAATCATCGTGAAGGACCTTCTCCTCGTCCTCCATCCAGAGCAAGTCAAGGATCACGGGACGGAGGAAGATCTACTCCGTCTAGATCCCATCAAACCTCATCCTACTCTCAGTCCTCTCCTCGCACATCATCTTCCAATTCAATGGCTGCCATGTTCGGAGGAATGAATCCCTCCATGTTTGGTCTTGATCCCAAAATGCTTGCACAAATGGATCCGAAGATGCTCCAGGCTGCAGGTATTGATCCCAAAATGTTGGCACAAATGGATCCTAAAATGATGGCTATGATGGATCCAAGAATGGCCTCAATGACTGGAATGGATCTAAAAGCCCTTTCACAAATGGATCCACAGCTTCTCCAATCTGCAGGAATTGATCCTAAAATGCTCCAGCAGATGATCGATCCGAAAACCTCCATGTCCGGATTTGATCCGAAAATGTTTGGAATGGATCCCAAAACCTCAATGGGTGGCATAGATCCAAAGATGCTAGGTATTGATCCCAAAATGTTGGCTGGAATGGATCCCAAAATGTTGCAAAGTATGGGCATTGACCTAAAAATGTTTGGATTGGACATGAAAAGCCTACAACAAGGAATTCCCAAGTCCTTGATGGGAATGGATCCAAAACTACTATCCGATCCCAAATTCTTGGCAAGTCTGGATCCCAAGATGCTGCTTGGTGGATTAGATCCAAAAATGTTTGGTTTGGATCCCAAAATGTTCGGAATGTCCTCATCTGGCTCTTCCAGTTCTAGTCCCAGCAGAGTTCATACCAGCTCTCATCACTCCAGCACTGTTCCAACCAGCGCTACTTCCACACAGATGTCCGTTCCAACCTCGTTCAGCGGACTCATGGACCCTAGACTCCTAGGTCTGGATCCTAAGATGCTCCAGGGTCTGGATGAGAAGGCTTTAAAGAGCTTGGGTTTGGATCCTAACATTGTGAAGAATCTTTTGAACGAGAAACCTAGATCAAGCGGGGGAAGTTCAAGAGGAGGAAATACAGTCAATACTTCTAGATCCCAGTCCAATACTTCAACAACATTCTCCGGACTGGATCCAAAAATGTTCACTGGTATGGATCCAAAGATGATGAGTATGATGGATCCCAAGATGATGGCCGCTATGATGGATCCTAAAATGATGGCTGCCATGTACGGGATGGATCCTAAGATGTTAGCCGGACTTGATCCCAAAACCCTGGCCAGCTACGGCATTGATCCTAAGTGGTTTGATCCTAAGGCTATGGGAATGGATCAGAAATCCTTCCAAGGAATTGATCCCAAAGCTCTCGGGCTTGATCCTAAAATGCTCCAGGGAATGGATCCCAAGATGCTCCAATCTATGGGAATAGATCCCAAGTATGTGAACATGGAGCCTAAGAGTAGCAGAAGTAGTTCTCCTGCTACCTCCCTCCCAGCTACATCACAGGGTATGGATGCAAAGATGCTTGCAGGACTAGGCCTAGATCCAAAGATGCTCGCTGGTATTGATCCCAAAATCTTGGCCTCTTACGGAATTGATGCTAAAATGTTAGCCAGTCTGGATCCCAAAACCTTCGGTGGGATGGACAAACAATCCTCAAGAAATCCGGATCCCTTGGCCGGGATCGATCCTAAACTTCTCGCTGCTGCGGGAATAGATCCAAAGATGCTTGCCGGTATGGACCCAAAGATGTTGGCATCTCTTGGCTTGGATGCAAAATCTTTGGCGGCAGCTTTAGATCCCAAAAATCTTCCAAAATCCATGGCTGGCATGGATCCTAAAATGTTTGCCGGTATGGATCCAAAGATGTTTATGGGATTTGATCCTAAGATGTTGGGAGGAATGGATCCTAAAATGTTTGCGGGAATTGATCCCAAGATGCTTGCTGGTCTTGATCCCAAGATGCTTGCTGGTCTTGATCCCAAGATGTTGGCAGGACTTGATCCCAAAATGTTTGGGGGAATGGATCCAAAATCTATGGCTGGATTAGATCCTAAGCTGATGGGTGGATTTGATCCCAAGATGCTGGGTGGTTTGGATCCTAAGATGTTGGCGAGCATGGGTATAGATCCAAAATTAATGTCTGACCCTAAGTTCCTTGCAAGTTTGGGAATGGACCCAAAAATGCTAGCAAGCATGGGTTTTGATCCCAAAATGCTGGGCTCTCTTGGTGGGATGGATTCCAAAGCCGCCGCCACATCAATGGGAATGGATCCTAAGATGTTGGCTTCAATGGGTCTGGATCCCAAAACTCTGGCCTCAATGGGGATTGACCCTAAGATGCTAGCTTCAATGGGCATCGATCCCAAAATGCTTGCCTCTATGGGCATGGACCCAAAGATGTTGGCTTCAATGGGATTCGACCCTAAGACACTCGGATCAATGGGAATGGACCCTAAATCTCTAGCCAATATTGATCCTAAGATGTTCGGGTTCGACCCTAAAATGTTCCAGAATATCGACCCTAAGACACTACAAAGTATGGGCATTGACCCTAAGCTAGCAAGTGACCCCAACCTGTTAGCAATGTATGCAATGGGTATGCCCGGTATGATGCCAGGTATGGGCGGAGCTTCTAATGGTCTGGGAGCAGGAACTCCGATCCCTAGCTCCAGTAAGAGCGGAGCCCCTGCTAAACCTAAACCTGGTACCGTTGCTGCCGCACTACAGGAGAAGAAGGACAGCGAGAAGACGAGGTCGGAGCACAGCGGGGAAGAGAACAGCTGGGAGGCACATGACAAGTCTGTAGAGGAGAGGGAGGAGGAGGAGATGAGAAGAGGATTGACAAGTGAAGAACGAGTTTTATTACGTGAGAAAAAGAAAGAAAGATTACTTAAAGAAGTTGAAACAGATTCAGGTGAAGGAGGGGAAGGAGGATTAAACCTGTCTGTATCTAGACATGCTGAGCAGGGTTCAACTAAACTCGAAGCTCTACTTAATAAACCTATGGACGACTCTACGGAGGCGAGACAAGTGATGAACAACGGCGAACCTCATGACGAGGCTTGAACTAGTTAACCATGTACATACCTTGGGTTGGGGTGGGGGCCCCGACCCTTGGTATACATTGCTGTGATATAACGAGATCTTGAACTGTTGAGTTGAACACCACATTTACACCCTATGATATTGCTGTATTCACCAGTTTAGTTAATTCTGGTTTAAAACATGTAGAAAACCATCCTTCTCATACCGACCTACAATTCCTACTGTATTTATCAGGTTTCCGTTAAAGTACGCTTTCACAACCAAACCATTAGAATCCTGGATCCTGTAAATATTGTCCCTTTGTCCAGGTCCTGGTTGATGATTAGATATACATAATAGTCCAGTTTAGGTTGATCTTTGTATAGTTTAACTTCATCTATTTCTTCTTCAATAAACTTTATTTGAAACCTACTTCTTTTATTGTCAGAACAGATTTACAAGAGAACACATTTATCAATTTGTCGTAGTTTGCAAGGATATCGTCCACTATAGTACTTTATTATCTCAATATATCCTGAGGGCCATAAATCTGAAATAGTTAAAATTAAAACCAACAAGTTTTTTTTTAAAAAAGGTACGAGACATTATTTGAGGATCATTTAAATTGTAAACAGCAAAAGTGAAAAAGGAACAAACATTCTTTTAACCAAATGTTCTTTTTGTAAGGAAGAAAACAGAATAAATTATAAAGGGAAAAACAAGAAGTAAAAGTAGAACTGAATGAAGATTTAACCTTTAAGAAGAAATTTGATAAGAAAATGTTAAATTTCTTTGTTCTCGGCTGTCGATTTTAATTTTAAATTTTAACCTAATTTAATTTTAGCTTTTAATATTAAATTTATAAAAAAAATCATTTTGATTATTTTAAAAGCTCATTTAAAAAATTTGTTTGTATTTGCAATACAAGCAAATTTTAGGTACAGTTTGTAAGTCCAAATTTAAAAAAACCTGAAGTTCTTGAAATAAAAATTGATAAAATATTGAAAACATCAGAAGTTAAGAAAGGAACTGAAGTTCTCAAACACCAAATGCATAGTAAAAATGAAACAAAACCGAAGGAATATTAAAGGAGAAAACCATGAAGAATTGTAAAGTAAAATTGAATGAAAAATGCGAAGGGAAATTTTTCACTATTAAAACACAAACAGGGCTTTAACAAGATTAGAAAGCGTCTCGTCTTTACTAAAATCAAACACACAATTATTATCTTCTATTTGAGGTAGCGGAAAAGAAACTAAAACAAATCATTTCATCATTAGAAAAAACGCTATCATTTCACAAAAGAAAGTAAACAGGAGGGAATATCATTGGCTAATTTTTTATTCATTTAACCATTGGTGCAACTATAGGTCGTATAATCTACACGCTCTGGTAAAGCGTAATTATAGTGTGACTATGGTTCTACCAAAAGTAGAGCGTCTAAGAAATTGGCTACATCTTTAAGGTGAAAGAATTAACAATCGTAGACTGGTTTTATTTACAGGGTGAGTCAAAAAAGTGTGATCAGCGGCGCCTTTTTGTGCAATATTCAGTTCTTCTGTATGGTGTTTTTTCAATATTGTTTTGAAATTTTTTTATCTTTTTTGGTCCACAAACATCCTCTAACTTTTTTTCTCTCAAAATCAAAAGTTCAGAAAAGCAAAAATGTGTATAAAATTATTTCTATCGAAATATAAAATTTGATACATATTGAATCATAAAAAATTGGCAAGAAAAATCTCAATTTTCAGTTCTCTGGTCTAATTTTTAAGGAAAAGTTATTTGAATTCTCTAGTTCCTCCTTTCTTGTAGTATATTCAAAAGTTAAAAATGTATGCTGTCCAGTTGAAACCTGAAGAACCATTGAAAAACAACTTTTCCTCAAAATTTTTTAAGAAAGTATATGATATAGATATAGAACACATTTTTTAATGTGTCTCAATTATAATTAGTTTTAATCGTCTAGCACTTACATTATGTTTAGGTACTTCATACGTCTTGTCTAAAACAGCAAATTCTATTATTTAAATCTGTTAAAAATCGGATAGAAATTTGTATTATTTCTGATACTTAAAAATTTTGGATCTTGCAAACTTTAAATTGATCCTATATGCTGGTGAAATATCTATTCTATATGACCTTAGATTGAATTTTTAAAGAGACTTGAATTTTCTTCGATCTTTGATTTGTTCTCATTTTGTTCCCTCTATATCTGTAAATGTCTGCGTATGAGCATTTTTTGGTGTATAGTGGGGGGGGGGGTCAGAGGGCGTTAGTGTACATAGATTAACACCCAACTATTCTTGTTTATCGGTGATATGTCGCGTAAGTCTGAACATTTATAGATGTAAAAATCATCATGATTTCTCAATTCTACAGAAGATTAAAAATGTCGTCTTGGAATTGAGGTTTTCTTCAAAAGATGCTAGAAGGTGTCCAATAAACATGGGAATTCAGTGACGAATTCGATATCGTCTTTTTAAATAAGTCTTTGATTTAGTATAGTGATACCTGGTGAGAAAGCTGTAATCTGTAAGAGTTTCGTCTGCTATGTTCACATTTTGTTTGTTTATGTTGTGACTTCATATACGGTTGTACTTAGTAAAACAAGAAAATTGCAGTATACAAACAGAGTAAACTTGTCCGTCATCACTGTTCACCTTGCGGAGAGGCATTATAAACCAATCTTTACAGTCTTTTACCCTTTTCATAAAATAAACTCTGGCAGACATAATAATATTATGGGTTTTGAAATTAGGTATTATACAATGCTAATTCAATACAAAGACGATATCCAATTCGTCACTGAATTCCCATGTTTTTTGGGACACCCTGTACAGTGATAACCAGAAAACTCTGAAAAAAAGAAGTCGACTTTTAGAATCAAGTTATAACTTTAAATATTTCCTTTGTGTAGTTTAAAAAGACGATCATTTCACTAAATTAGTGAGATAATAAGTGTCTAATAAAACTATTTGCTTTGTAACGTAACATCAAATAAACATATAAATATGGCTACATTGTCGTCTTCCTATTCCATTGTTTCCCGGTTATCACTGTACTAGTAGTAGGAGGCATCACGTTACACTAAATCAATAAAGTAATTCAGAAAGACAATTTCAAAACCATCATGCTCAATTACACTTATTTGTGTGTACTGTGTAGAGTATAGAGTAGAAATGATATATCTACAGAAAAATGTCATTAACAAAAAAGGTTTTTTTTCTGAGTGATATTATTTTTCAATGCAAGTTTTATTCGTGGGTCCATGGTGCTCAAGGGAGCACTGGAACCATGAAACATTTGCTCTGAGATTTATACTCGGGGCAAATGGTACTAGTGGAGCCAGTGCTCCCTTTTTTTTGGGGGTATTTTAATGAAATTTTCTTTAATATTTCTTGAATTTAATGGACTCACAATCTAAAACAATTTATTCACTCTAGATGTTTGGGTGTGTTGCTCTGACGGTGGCGGCCCTGCAGGATACATACATATTATTTATAAGGAATGCTGGAAGATAGTAGCAGCATATTTTTTTGCTCCGGCCCACCGGAGCCGGAGCTAGATGAAACGGAGTAAGAATTATTCACGCAACCTCCCACCGGAGAA